TGATATACAAGTTGTTATAGATCTAAATCTAAGACTTCAAAAAATAAATATGTGTTCAGCTACAAGTATTCCTTTGTTTACAACAGAAGCATTGGAATTCTTTCTAGAAGAAATTGAGATAGTTCTTCAGAAGGAAAGGAAGCTGTCAAATCAAGAATGATTGATGCTAATAAAGAAAGACTGGAGTTTAAGGAAGCTTGTCAAGAACTATTTGGATTTAGTTATTTCTGAAGTAAATCCAAAGAATTTGATTGAAAAGGATGTTAGTTTGCGAATTGAATATTTGTCTCTTCAATACTCTATTCTAAAGAGAAAGAGGTTGAAAAGAAGTCTAGGCAAGCAGATACTACATATCATAAAGTTGTGAAAGTAAATGAATTGTTTCTAGAGTTCAAATTTTGGAATAAGTTTTTTCTGACAAAGAATTCAGAGTGGTTACATATGTTGATTCTTTCACTAAAAAAGTCTTTTGCTTTCAAGAGGGAGTATGAAGGATTTATTGACAGAATTGGAAAACTAAGGACAGATGTATATTTAGACGTATTCATTAGTAGATTTGATAATGTGAAACAGAAGACCTGGAGAAGTATTGTTTATTATAGTTTTGAAGTGGAAAGAGAGGATGGAAGAATTTATGAATTTATTTAAGCAGACTTCCTAAATCTGCATCTACAAAATATGGTTCAGATTTATACAAAACTGGCACCATATGAAGAAAAGGTTGCAAAGTTCAGAAAAGGTTTGGTTGCTATAATTTAAGGTATTCTAAGAGCTACAATTTCTGCCGGAATGATTGATTTTCAAGTTACCTTCATTCTAGGAAGAGAAAAGGTGCTTTTGTCAGCTCTTATTATACATTTGGATGGAACAGAGAGTCTGCATACTGGAACAATAATTTGTGATCCTGCTAGGTATATCTGCAAGAATTTTCAAGAAAAATTCTTTTTCAGAATTCATGATGTGAATAAGTATAGCTCCGGAACTTTGAAACAAATTCATGAATCTCTTGGAAAAAAATTTAAAAAGGAGACCAAAGATTGTATGTAAAGAGGAACGGCCAAAGGTGAAGAAGCTAGTTATTTGGATGAGGCAACACATTGAAGCTTAGTTAAACTACAAAGATATCATCATTGAAAAGTTTATTCCGATGTTTATTGATCGAAGGTTTAAAATTTGAATCACATGGAGATATTGTAAGTTCAAAGAAGTTTCTACAAGTTTGTTAAGTAAAAGTGAGAAAATGACTTTTACAGAGTTTTAAAAGAATAAGAAAATTTGCTAAGTGCGGAATTCAAAGTTTGGAAGAAGAGCTAAAATGACTAAGTGTTAAGTTTTCCAAAGTTAGATAACTTTCAGAGTTCGAGAAGTCCAACTCTGAATGTGCAATTCGGAGTTAGGGACTAAGAAGATTTTCACATTATAACTTCTTAGAAACGAAGACTTCTTCTATGATACTAGAACACTGTCCAAATGTAATTAGTCTCTCTTGTATATCTTGTAACTGTATTTTTCTCGTTTTATTATAAATTGGAGTTATTTAGAGTTAGTTAGATACTTGATATGGTTCTTTACAAATTCATTTGTAGATTTCTCTCATTCAGTTTTGTACTCATAAACATGAAGATCAATGACATTATGACTTCCTTGCTCCAATTTTGTGTATTTGATTAATTCTTGCTCTATTATTCTTACATTCTTGATCATAATCAGTATACAGGTACTTTCACTCTAGCAATCCAACTTGGTTGTTTTATATATCTTTTTAACCAGACAATGTCTTTTCAAATGATTGAGGCACATATAATCAACATCTTGAGATTTAGTTTGTACTTAATCTCTTCTAAACATCAACACTTGTGTGCTTTTGTTCTGTTGATTATGGAGTAGATGAAATATCAAATGTTACTTTAATATTCCTACGGTCACGATTTTTGATGATTTAACCCATAATCTAACACATGATCACACGTGTCAAAACCTTAATGAGTGTGTTATAAACCATTCAGTTTGTACGTTTTTTGAAGACGTTGTTTGAAAATACACTTGAGTGCTTTTCCATTGTAAATAAATTTCATCCCCCTCTAGTTTTCATTTTATGCTCACAATTTACCTCTCTAAAAACTTCTTTGAACTTAAGATTTTTCAAACTCTCAAACCTGCAACTATGGCCTCTCCAACAAACTCCCATAACTCTCATGGCGATGAATTGTCATGCGCTCAACAAAAGGAACTAGCAACCCCACTGTTTTTCTACCCATTAAGGCCAACAATCATCAAGTTGACCCTATATTCAAAAACTATCATCTTGACTGCTACATCATGATAGGGTTTCCTCAAAACCACTTTCTAGAGACTACATTGACCATTGTAGATGATGACATTCCTGTCAAATATGTTCAACAGTTTCACAAAATTGTGAATTTGTCTCAAGTGCCAAAGGAATCATCGGCATCGTTGACGTCCCCAACAATACGGAATGTGGGATAAAGATCACAAGGAAGAAGTTTTTTGAAATCCTTGTCATTCCCACAAGAAAGGAGCTAGGAATGAAGAAGTATGTAGACTTGCCTACTTCAGACGATGTGGCATCATTTTTTTGAAGTTTATTGGTTACAATAAACCAATTTCTGTCGTGTCTCATTTCAAGAGGCAATTCCTTCCTCCAATATGGAATGTCCTCTTCAACATCCTCAATCGGAGTCTGACGTGCAAGATTAGCAGCATGGACCAAGGAATCATCAACATTCTCACCGTCATGTACGACCTCTACTTTGGACTACACCTAGACTAGGCCTACTTGATATATAGTGAGATCCTTGCCACTGTCAACACAAAGAATTGACTTCAGGCTAAGGGAAAGCCCTTTCCAAGCATGATGTTCCCACGGTTTCTGCCTAATTTTATTAGGGGAATCATGAAAGAGTACAAATTGTCAATAGATTGGCCAAATACCCCATTCTTTATCATGAAAACTCACAAGCCGACTACCTAGAAGGAAGGCTACCCCATCGAAGGACCTCTTTTAAAGGTCATGCTGAGAACCTTTCCTTATACTTCTCTTCTCATAGACGATTATAGGAGCGTTATTCTTGCCTCTGATTCAAGGTAAGATACTCCAGAGCGCATAGAGCCTGTAGATGGTGAGGGATTAAGTGAGGATTAAGGAATATGAAGAGTGCTCTACTAAGTACTTCTTCTTAAGAGAGAGGAAAAATGAAAATGAGAGCTTAGAGAGTGAAAAAGATGCCACTAAAAATGAAGAAGATATTGGCACACTTGAGCGACTATAACCAAGTCCACCCCTAGACACTACTCAAACTATGACAAGTGAGCAAGCACTTGGTCATATTGAAGAAGGACTTAGGTTGAGTATTATCCCAGAACCCGAATGTAGCCATCCAGAGCCCCCTTTTTTGGCTCTGGAGTGCACATACCAGAGGATCCCCATATTCCATCTCTGTCATCTCAAAAGGACTTGGATGCTAACATAAAAGTTTCATATCTTCAGAAATCGCCACCACCCATAGAGATATGTGTTCTCTGTTTACACTGGTCTAGAAATCCCAAATTGTTCAGAGCAACATTTTGAAGAAAGAAAACCCTGGATACTTGCTTTATCAAAGGGAATACATAGTTATTTCTCTTCCTTGGACTCTGAATCTGAGGATGTTGAAATAAATATCAGAACATCCATAGCATCTTCTTCTGTTAATGAAGGATTACAAGGATCAGATGAAAGTCCTTCCAGTCTTAACATACAAACAGGATTGAAAGAAGGGCCCTTCGAACTCAAGGAAAGAACTGGTTCATGTGTTGAACTAGAAGTTACAAAAACTTCTGATCTTGTCATGAGAGCAGAGTTCTTGGCTTTTGCGGACAAGATTCAGAGATCCTTGGACGATCTAAAACTCACGCTCTCGCAGTCAGAAGCCTGTGCCTTAAGTTCTGATATCCATCTTCTCAGAGCCTCTGTCTCAGCCTTGAAAGCTCAATCCCAAAATAATGTAGAGAAGCTCGAGATACTAAGGCAGATGATGACTTAATAGGATAATGCTTAACGTTCTCTAATGCAACAACAATTCGAGAGCTTATCCTCCAAACTATCAATCATAGAAGGATCTATACAAACTCTTTCTGAACTTATCTAGAGCAGGGTACCAGAAGTTGCAACTATCTCTGCATCTACTTTTGGGACTTCAATATCGTTGGAAGACTTTAATTCCTTCACAGCAGAGATCGGATTGCTTCTGTCAACACCTCTGTCTCCAACACACAGACTTCAAGCTCTCTAGCCTCCTCAAATATCGTCCCCAAAGTTGATTTGCATCTCTTCCAATCATCTCTTATCAAGAAATCCATAGAGATAAGTGTCAAGTTCCTACCAAAATCGAAAGAACCAATTTTTTGAGGTGTAGAAGATCCTTGCTAAACACCATCTTGTCTAAGATAATATTGTAAGTAAGATCACAGCTACCCAAGAATCCATGGTCCATAAACTTGAGACTTACCAATTCAAATGGCTATTGTTGAAAATCCCTTCTCCCAGAGGCTCACATAAATTGAAGCATCTATGGATGACACCACCAAGGTTCTCCACAAGATTGCAAAATTCTTTCAGCTTCTGAAAGAAAGTCAAACTCACCACCACTAGAAGTACGAAGAGAGATTTTTACTCTAGTTTGGTCGAGTGACTCCTTAAGCTGAGCCATCTGTTGGTCGGTAGGAGTACTGGAGACAGGGTTTTCAAGGACCCACTCCAGTCGACCATAGGTAGTTGAGGGAATATGAAGTTGATATAGTGAAGTGACCACTACCTGAGAGGTAGAGTCTTCAAATAAGGGTTGAGGGTTTTTGGAAAGTACCTTCAAGTTCCCTTCTTCAATGATATCTTTGCCTTTCGACTTAGGGTCCTGGTTCTTTGATGGGGCAGACTCTTCTTCTCTTTGCTCCCCCTGGGATGCAGAATCTCTGAGAGTGACTCCTTTGGTGGTGGTTGTTAGTCATTGATACTGAATGGTGAAGTCATCTTCATCGTCGTCGTCGTCATCACCATCAAGGTTACTACCAGAGTCTGGAAGGTCAGGTTCGTCATCATCATCATCATCATTATCACCAGCAACAGGTGTAGAGGTGATGGTAAGATCATCATCCTTAGGGATGGCATCAACTTCCTCAGCTATAACAGCTTCACCGAAGGTTGGGATATCTTGGGCAATCTCAGCTTCAGCTTCAGCTTCAAGGATTGTTGCAGTAGCAGATGGTCCAGCAGCGTTGGACCTCATCTCCCGCTCTCTGGCTAAGACTTGAGAGTATAGACCAAAGAGTTCGTCCATGCGCTGATGCTATAGAACCATCATTTCCTCTAGTCATGACAGAGCGTTGGCTAGGGTTGTCATTGCTTCACGCATCTCATAGAGCTGATTGTGGTCATCAACAATAAAAGAAGGCGGGATTATTGGTGCTGGTTGACGGACATCATCCAGGATCTGCTAAAGAAGCTCTGTCTCGTGGAGAGACTGAGCCTGAGCGTCATCAGCCTTGTTGGATAGAACAATGATGGCTTCAGCGTTGGCTCGAACAACCTCATGTAAAATCGAGAGCTGACTCCTTACTTCTTGAACATCAGCTTTGGCAGCTGAGAGGTCTGCATCAAGATCTGCCTTGTGAGGCATTTCTCAATGAACTTCAGACATCTTGCAGAAGATGGTATCTATGGCTAGGAGGAGATGCTTGACATCAGATGCCATGTCATAATCTTCATCATCTTCCCCATATTCTTCCTTCTCTTCCCCGTCTTCTTCCTTCTCTTCTTCTTTGTCTATATGTTGAGGCGCAGAAGAAGGACCTGCAATAGATGGAGAGTGAGCATATAAAAGCTCGGGGTTAGAAGAACTGAAGGGGTAGGAAGATGGAATACATGAGGGGCCATTGGTGACATTTAAAGGATTGTCACTGGCTTGCTCAATTATGCCCTTGAGAGGATGAGCATCTATATGCTGAGGAGCCTCAAAAGAAGCAACCTCAGGTCTAGTGGGGTGTGTTTCATCATTAGGGAGGACATTCACTGATGAGTCATAAACATGTGTAGCAACCAAAGAAGGAGGAGAAGAGAAAACGGTTAAAAAAGAGGTGGGTGTTCAGCGATGGCGGCACTAATATTCACACCTTTAGTGATTTGGGTCACTGAGGCGGTTGGGGTAGGTGTCACTGATACGACAGTGATTGGAGAGATCACTGAAGAGCTAGGAAGGGTAGCTGAACTTTCCTCGGGGTTAAGGCTAGTTTCAATAGCGGAAATCTATTGAGAACTTTGAGGAAAAAGCCATGATGAAAAAGATGGCACGTTCACATTCATGATTGGATGACATTTAATGAGGTAGCGTATGACAGTCTTTTTTGCTAGTCTCAAAGCGTTGCGCATTGTAAATAGGGAATGTCATCATAAAGACGGTTCATTAACTATTTCTTTTAAAAGTGAAAAGGTTTTTAAAAAATTGAAGAGTCATTTAGTGTTGAAAGAAACACTGAAAAGACCTTTTAAAACATTTTGATCATTGAAGAGGGAAAGAGTTCAGTGATAGTTTTAAGACTTCATTGTCAGTGATAAGAGAAACTGGAACTGACTTATAAAAACATTTGAGTCACTGAATAGGAAAGGTTCAGTGATCATTTTGATTTTTAAGAAAAGATAAGTATAAGAGAGATATACTTACGAAAATGTTCAGTGAGCAAAGAATCACTAAAACAAACTTTTAAAACGATTTGATCACTGAAGAAGGAAAGCTTCAGTGATAGTTTTAAGTTTTTAAGAAAATAAATAAGTAATCATACCTTAGAGATAATAGATACATTTACTCAAGAATTCAGTGACAGAGATAGAGCACTGAATCATTTCACTTACTGATCGATGTTAATAGCAGAAAATTATTCTTCTACGTTTAGCATTCCCAGTTCGCTAATCAAGATGTTAAATCTTGTCTCATCAAGAGGCTTGGTGAAAAGGTCAGTGAGCTGATAATCAGTTGGAACGAAGTGAAGTTCAATGTCACCATTCATAACATGATCTCTGATAAAATGATATTGGATCTCTATATGTTTGGTCTTGGAATGAAGTACAGGATTATTTGCGATAGCAATAGCACTAGTGCTATCACAATAGATAGAAACCTTTGAAAACTGAAGATCGTAGGCTATCAACGGGTTTTTCATCCAAAGAATTTGGGCACAACAGCTACCAGTGGCTACATATTCACCTTCAGCGATTGATGTGGACACTGAGTTTTGTTTCTTACTTGTCCAGCTCACCAACTTTCCACCTAAAAGCTTACAGCCTCCATTGGTGCTTTTCCTATCAATTTGGCAACCTGCAAAATCACTATCCGAATAACCTATTAGGTCCAAACCTGAACCTTTAGGGTACTAGAGACCCATGTTAGGAGTTCCCTTAAGATATCTAAAGATGCGTTTTACAGCAATCAAATGGGATTCCTTAGGTTCAGATTGATATCGTGCACCTAAGCAAGTAGAATACATGATATCTGGTCGACTGGCTGTGAGATACAACGGGGAGCCGATCATTCTTGTGTAAATAGTTACGTTTACAGGCTTTCCATTTGGATCCTTGTTGAGAGAAAGTGGAGGAGCTATTGGAGTCTTCATAGATGAACTATTTGATAGATCAAACGTCTTCAGCATGTCACAAACATACTTACTTTGACTGATAAAGATACCTTTATCAGACTATTTGATCTGGTGACCTAAAAAGAAGGTTAGTTCTCCCATCATGCTCATCTGATATTTTTTCTTCCTGCGATCAGCAAAACGAAAACACAAAGAAAGATTAGTGGAACCAAATATGATATCATCGACATAAATTTGGACTAGAATGATGTGACCTTTAACTTTCCTAAGAAATGAAGTCTGCTCAATCTTTCCACATACAAATTTCTTAGAGATGAGAAACGAGGAAAGGGTATCATACCAGGCATGAGGAGCCTGTTTTAACCCATAAAGAGCCATATCCAAATGATAGACATGGTTTAGATACTTAGGGTCAAGAACCCTGGAGGTTATTCAACATAAACTTCCTCTTGAAGTTTTCCATTAAGGAAAACTCTCTTTACATCCATTTGGCAGACTTTAAAGTCTTTATGGGCAGCAAAGGCTAGGAAGAGTCGAATTACTTCGAGTCTAGCCACTGGTGCGAAGGTTTCATCATAGTCGATCCGTTCTTCTTGTCTATAACCCTGAAGAACAAGTCGAGCCTTGTTACGGGTTACCACACCTTCTTCATCCAACTTGTTGCGATAGACCCACTTGGTGCCTATCATTATTTTGTCAGAAGGACGTGAGACAAAGGTACTAGACTTTGTTCCTATCAAACTCAATGAGCTCCTCTTGCATGGCAAGGACCCAACTAGTTTCTGAGATAGTATCATTGATTTTCTTGGGTTCAACTAAAGAAAGAAAGTTGACAAAGAGACAGATATTACCTAAACCAACGACGAGTCTTGATACCTACATCTGGATCACAAAGAATTTGATGAATTGGATGGTCTTTAGTTTGTCGCTGAGCTGGTAGAGGATTATCATATGAGTAAGGAAGTTCACGAATAGAAGATGAGGCTTCAGCTGTAGTGTCTTCAGCAATAGGAACGATTGCTAAAGTAGCCTCAAATTCAGCGACTGAAACAAGTTCAGATGTTGAAGGCATTTCATTCACTGATTGATCAGTGTTTGAAGTAAAAGAAGGAAAACAGCTAATGGGCACAACAGAGATCTTTAAAGAAGATACGTTGGAGTGACTAGCTTCAACTAGAATGATAAGTGGATCGTCTTCAGCTTCAGGGGCTTCAGTGTTGAGAGGAACGCTGAAGGAAGCTTCGGGTTGTCCAAAGTGAGAGGACATCTAGTTTTCTAATTCATCATCATCATTTAAGATGGGTTTTGAATTAGCTGACTGATATTCATCAAAGGTGACATGGATAGTTTCTTCTATCGTCTGTCATCGTTTGTTGAATACTTTGAAGGCTTTCGATACTGAAGAATATCCAAGAAAGATTCTTTCATCAGCTCTGGGGTTGAAATTTCCGAGTTGGTCACGGTTGTTAAGAATATAACAAGTGCAACTAAAGATGTGCAGAAAGCTAATAGAAGGCTTTCTTCCATGAAAAAGTTCATAAGATGTCTTCTTGAACCTCTTTACGATCAGCAACCAATTTTGAGTGAAACAAGCGATGTTGACAGTTTCAGCCCATAATTAAGTAGGAAGATGGGATATGTTGAGCATTGATCGATAAGCCTCTATGATTGTTCGATTTCTCCTTTCAGCGACCCCATTTTGCTGAGGAGTTCTCACTGAAGAAAAGTTATGAGAAATTCCCTTGTCCTCAAAGAAGTTATCCATGGTACTGTTTTTGAATTCAGTACCATGGTCACTTCTAATAGATCGTACTTTAATGTTATTAAGTACTTCTATTTTCTTGATAAACGAAATGATATCTTTAGGTGCTTCATCTTTGGATCTCAGGAAGAAGACCCATGTGTATCTAGAATAGTCATCAACAATGACGAGTGTATACTTCTTTCTAGCTATAGATTACAAGTTGACTGGACCAAAGAGATCCATGTGCAGTAGCTGAAGAGGTGCAATCACTAAAGAGATTTGCTTTGACTTAAAGCTATATCTTGTTTGTTTTCCTTTTTCACACACTGAGCAAAGAGATTCCTTTGCAAAGGAGTGTTGAGGAAGACCAGTGACCAGATCATTTTTAGACAACTCACTGAGTGTCTTGAAGTTAAGATGAGAAAGTCATTTGTGCCATAGCCAGTTGATATCTGACGAGGCTTTAGAGAAGAAACAACTGTTCTCAGTGATAGAAGAATTTATATTGATGATATAGACATTCTCTAGGCGAGAACCGGTCAAGGCAACCTTATCATATTTGTCGTAGACGCAACATGAATTCTTAGAGAATTTTATTGTGTAGTCTTTGTCACACAGTTGATTGATGCTCAAGAGGTTGTGCTTCAGTCTTTCAACATATGCAACTCGTTTGAACGTGGTTGCACCATTGGTTAATATACCAAAAACTCTGGTATATATCCTTTTCCATTACCTCCAAAGGTCACGAAAAGTCCTCTTTCTTCCTTGTAGTTAATTAGTAGGGATTTGTCTCCAGTCATATGTCTTGAGCATCCACTATCTAGATATCATATGCCTTTGACATCCTG